ATTCCTGCCACCAGGTGGCACCGTGTGAAGTTGTAAATCAGTGTCATTCCCAAGCTCACTTCCATTAGGACAGTTTCTACTGGTAGGAACTGCGGGCTTCTTTAATATATATACACCCTGAGGTAAGCCCACAGTCATTTTTGGAATATAAAATCAGGAAAAGGGAAGAAACTCAGTTTCTAACTGGTTTTTCTTCCTCTAACCCCAGAGGAGTGTCAGATAAGGTATGCATTAGAAACCCTTCTGGATTTTACTCTTCTGTAGAGCTCTCTGTCACTTTTTTAATCTGCACAGTGACAGCCTGCTTTTTCATAAGGCCAGTAGAGGACTGTTCCTTAGAGTATATTTTCCAGTACTTTTGGCCAAGTAACAGGGGTGTACTATTTCCTGTGGAAGAATATCCTGTTCAGGGGCTAATAGTAATCATTGTTAGAATACTTTTTTTTCTTTTTTCCCCTTTTTTTAATGCTCAACCTGAAAGTTCCTTTTCTTAATTCCACCTCTTTTATCTCAACTTTTGCCAGGATATGGAGAGGTAGCTTAAAAATTAAATGTTCTTGTTGAGTAAGAAAATAGCACAGTGACTAAAGCCAAGTCCTTGTTCATGCCCCTTCTCTAGGTGTCCCGCAGATTAAGCTACTCTGTGGCAGTGACATAGTAGAATCCTTTGGAGTGCCCAACCTATGGAAATCGGAAGACATCACTGAAATTGTGGCAGACTATGGCCTTGTGTGCATCAACAGACCTGGATACAACGTCCAGAAATTTATCTATGAGTCGGACATACTGTGGGAACACAGGAATAACATTCACTTGGTGGACGAGTGGATCACCAATGATATCTCCTCTACCAAGATCCGCAGAGCACTACGGAGACACCTGAGTATCAGGTATTTGGTACCTGATGCAGTTCAGGCTTACATTGAAAAGCATGATCTATATAGTCCAGGGAGCGAAGACAAGAATGCTGAGGAAATTCTGGCTCCTTTACAGAAACATGCAAGTTCAAAGCAGTAGCAGACTTGTAATCAGTCCTTCTTTCTTTATGCTGTAAAAATGGAAAGATGTTTGAACTTTTCTAGTGAATCTGCATGCAACTGCCATGGAATTTAGCTGGAGTTTTGTGTTCACGAGGATTCAAAAGTGCACAAGGTTTGGGCCTCCACCATTTAGGAGCTTGATTTCCTTCAATGTCTTCCACCTTATTGTTGTCATTTACCATTGTTCAGAGTGAGAATAAATTGGGTGCACTTTGCCAAAGTACAAATGGCAACAAAGTACGAATGGCAACAAAAGAGGCAAGGCAATGGAAAATCACAGCAAAGCTTACACTTTTACATTTAAGTTTAGTAAAATCTACTGTTACATATCTTTATGGATTTTTTTTCTAAATTCAGCAAAAAAATGTTTACGTGTGCACGCGCGCACACATTTAAATATTTTCACAAAGGGATGTGAATAAAGCATGACAATAAGCTCTGGTGCATGAGAACCTGGAAGTGAAATTGCCTGGAAATGGATGAAACCAATCTGTTTATTTTCCCAGTTCAGAGAGAGTAATAACAACTTAAATAATTTACAGTATTGTAAAAACATCATGAAACATGATTTCCGGAGAAAACCGCAGTTGCCTGAGAAAAATAAAAGTTGCAGCTGCAGACTGTAACCCCTTGGATCCAAGATAAACCTGCTGTAACCCAGGAAGTTTTAGCCTGGCTCTAACCTGGGGTAACATCCTGGGGCAAGTTAGTTTCTTCTCCGGACAGCTGTTGGTTTGCATCTACCTGCTCTGAAGAAGTTACCTCCAAGCTTTTGGCTTGAGGGTCTCTGTCTTGGAGTGGCTCTGGGAGTAGCGTTAGAGCCCAACGAAAGCAAAATCGTTTCAAGGCAGTTACCCTCCAGCTGTCTTGTGCTTTATTTGAAAGCTTGGGAATGTTTAAAAAAAACTGTTACATTTCCTTTCTTATCAGTGATATAGAGTAATTCGCATACACCAAAATCCGGAGCATAAAATCTTACTCATTTCAAATACTTTATTGTTCCTACAGTATTATGTCATAAAACAAAGAACAACGATAAGGATTGAAAGCCACTTGCTAAAAAAAAATGTACATTGTAGCACCAGCAGCATTGTCACAGCTGAATGGTTTCAACAAGAAGGGGTAGCATGAGATGGGCCTCCAGCTATATACAAAAGCAGTGAATAACTTCATTCCTTTGTTTCCCCCTAGAGGCCTTAGTATTTGAGATATGTTTAGTGCTAATCAGGAGCAGGAAATGGTATTATAATTGCCTTACTTTAAGCTCAACACTGTTTCTCATGAAGAGACAGACCTATTAAAGAATCTCAGTCCAGCCACTGCTTTAATGAGTAAAGGTTAAGAATGGCGGTATTGCACTGATGTACTGTAAATGACTGCTTTTTTTCAAAGGATAAATAAGATTTGATTTCTGTACCCAGCCGGAATTGCTTTTTGTAAGTGGAAATGAGGAGGAGAGAACAGGATTTCAATGTTAACTAAATATGTACATTTTTATTTACTAAAAATCGGTTTCTGAAGTGACCAAAAAGCAAAACAAAGTAATCTATGTGACTATTTTAGTGAGCTAGAACGCACTGTAAAGCTTGAAAATACTAGTGAATTCTGTTTCCTCTTTTCCATCACTCTCCACTGTCTGGGTGAATTAAGTGCCTTACCAACAGTTCTGGGACTTACTGAACTACTATGTTAATAGAATAAGGATGCTGTTGACCTGTTTTCTCTCCAACAGTGCTCTAAGGTGAACAGTGAATGGCCTCTCCAAATGGACATACACATGGTGGAATTCTTTTGTGCTTTAAAACCTCTTTTGGTTCCTGCCCATCACTAACCTAGGAGCATCTGTAAGATTGTTTTTTTTAATATGGCAAGATGAGATTAAACTAACTCTAAGTGCATTTCTAATTCTGCAAAGTGGCAAAAATGGTGTCAGGTATTTGTTCTCGGTGATTTTCAGATCAAATGTATTCAGTTCACAACAGGTACAGCTATGCAAATCCCCACTGGGTTTTGAAAGACAACAGCTTGTGCATCATCAGCTATCGTAGGCCAAGTTATGTTTCAGTGTTGACTCAGCAATCCCATATCTTTAACTGTTTAGACCTTGGTAAACGGTTTTATTGATGTTGCATAGGAAGGGAAAAACATCCATCTTCTACTTTAAAGCTCTCTCTCTTTCTCTTCCTTCTCCCTGCCCCCTGGTACATTGATTTTGCCAAATTGACAAAAAGGAGTCAAGATTTAGTTCTAATAAATAAATAAAGTTAGCTAATGTACCTGTGAATACACAGACAGAGTAGACCTCTTAAGCAAGTTCACAGACAACAAAACTGGGAAAGATTATAAAGACATTGGAGGATGCAAGCGCAATTCAGAAGCATCTCAAGAGATTGGAAAGTTGAGCTAGAGCTAACAAGATGAAGTTCAATGCAGACAAATGCAAGGTGCTACACCTTGGGAGGAATAATCAAAAATACAAATACAATGTGTGTGACAGCTGGCTGGATGGCAGTTCTGTGGAAAACAAACTGGGAGTCTTGGTAGATCACACACGCTATATGAGTGCATCAACAGAAGCAGGTGTAAGACACAGGAGGTGATAGTGCCTCTCTACTCGGAACTGGTTAGCCCTCATTTGGAGTACTGTGTGAAGTTCTGGGCTCCACATTTTAAAAAGGATGTGGAGAAGTTAGAGAAGGTCCAGAGACAGGCAACAGGGAAAGCACCTTTTCTCTCTTGCTGCAGAGAGGAGGACATGAACCAATGGCTTGAAGTTGCAGCAAAGCAAATTTAAATTAAATATCTGGAGAAACTTCTCCACTGTTAGAACAGTGAGGTAGTGGAAAAGACTGCCTAGGAAAACTGTGGACTCTCCATCACTGGCGCTGTTCAAGAAGAGGTTGGTCGGGGTGATATAGGTGTAGCTATTCCTATTTTCTACCATGGGTTTTTCCCATGCTTCCGGGCTTTGCTGGTTGCCCCTCCCCTCCCCTTTTTCTATTATATGTGTTAGGTTGTTTCTAAGCCTTCTCAGAGGCATTGGGTGTTGGCTACATCAGCTGGGGTGTGCCGATGATTCTGCTGGGAGCAAAACCAGAGGTTCCTGGCTAGAGGGTTTTGCCCCTTCATTCAGGGTCAGGCTGATCACCATATTTGGGGTCAGGGATTTTATCCCATGGTCAAATTGGTATGGGCTATGGTGGAGTGGGGGTGGGGGTTGCCTTCTTCTGTAGAGGGGCGGGGGGAGCATGGCTTTCTACCCAGGACCTCTTGAGTGTATATTGACAACATTTTATAGAAGTAGAATATTGGCTGTCTTGGTTTCCCCGCTTTACCTGTGGAAAGTTAGGGTGCTAGGTCTATGTTGTGTCAGGGTTGATGGTAATCTTATGTAGAGTTTAGATTATGGGTGTATTGGATCCGGGGGGATTTGATTTAAATCAAATAGATTTAAACCATGATTTAAATCACTGGTCAGGAAGCTTTGATTTAATCATTGTTTTCTACAAAAAGTGCATTCTTGTAGTTTGATATAACCTTCATTAAAATATTCCCACACAGGTCTCTCTTTTACAACCTGGCAAGCCTGCTACCATGATAGGTTTTCCCTTCTAACATATTATTCCCTCACTAGATCTCAGAAACTTATCCCTTAAAACTTCTGAATATTCTGCAGCAAATGTTTCTTTTTTGTTTATATTGTCCCTCCCCCACTTGCATTTGTCTCCAGACTCTTCCTCCTTGCCCAGATCTATTCTACTCCCAACAATCCTCTATTTATTTAACTTCTTGAAACTGTGCTTTTACCGAGAGAAGCATTGTCATAGCTCAGGGGCGGGCAATTATTTTGGGCAGAGGGCTGCTTACAGAGTTTTGGCAAGCCATCAAGGGCTGCATGACAGGCAGTCAGGAGCAGATAAATATTAATTTTCTAAATGTTTTAGGGGCCCCACGGGCCAGATAGAATGGCCTGGCGGGCCGTATCCGGCCTGCAGGCCGCATTTTGCCCACCCCTGTCGTAGCTGAATGGTTTAAACAAGAAGGGGTAGCAGGATTGCTGATTGGTAAATGTTCATCAAATTGTATCTTGACCCAGCGTTGGCTCATGTCATTAGAATGTATTTGTAAGACTCCCATCTAATTTCACTTGGCTTGGATGTGTCACTCAGTTAATTTCTTGGCTATTAGGGCTATTTTGGAATTGCTACCTTCTCCATAATAACAGGTGTGAAGTTAGTTAGCATGGCTCAGCAGATAGCATTCTTGCCTCTGGGCAAAATGGAATGACACTTAAATCCAGCCTTTAAAACAGGGGTATCAAAGCTACGTGTCCAGCCCACAGATCCCTGTCATCCAGCCCACAATACCGTCTGTGGAGCTTGGGCTGACACACTGCATGTGGCATGTGAAGCCTGTCTGGCACGTGCTGCACATAATGTGCAGGCAGGAGCCAGCACATGCTTCATGCAGCGTGCGGAGGATCTCCATCCCAGTCTCCCCGCTGTACCTCCACCATTTTTTTTTCTCTTTACCTGACTACATGACCTAAACTGAAGACATTCCTGAGGTGGGAGGGAACCTGCTCCCTTTGTCTCAAGTTTCCCACTCTTGCTGGCCAGGTAATGACCAGCTCTCTTACCTGCCTATCACTCTAGTTGCTAAGCAACCCCCTAGCCTACATGTGAGACTTCAGGTATCAGAGAGGGGACTTAAACCTCTATTGTCTTAGCAAGGACCTCATAACTGGGAGTGGGGCTGGAGCCCCTGCCAGTCTACCTGGCAACCAGTAATGCATTGCCAATTGATTGGTTTGTAGCCAACTTCAGCTAGTCTCCACTGGACCCCAGAGTGAGGTCATAAGGTCTATCTAAGTTAAAGGCTGCCCAGGAGGAGGGGCAGCAGCCATGATGAAGACACAGAACTGAGCTGGACATCTGCAACTCTCTCCCTCTCTCTCTCTGGAAACACATGGACACACTATGAACTGCCTGCCTCCAGAGGAAAGTTCTACCAGCCTCTCAATGATACTTGTGAGTAAGCTACATGAGATCTAACTAGATATATAGCTTGCAGTAACTCAGATGCATGTTCAAAGGCTACCTAGCCACCCTGTTTGCTCTAAGGTATTTCTCTGATATTGCTCTATTCTGTACCCTACTCCAAACCTACTCCTTGTAATCAATAGTTCTCCTATGTACCTAGTGTGGGAGACTTATTGGGAGAGGATCCAGATTATGCCTTGGGGTCCCCTTGGTCTGGCTGACTAAGAGAGACCACTATTTGGGCTTCAGACTAACGGAAGCAACCCAAGTTCTTGCAAGTCCCCTCTAGGACTACTAGGCCTGTGTTTCCCAGGGGGCACATGGCCAAGAACAGTCCAGACCCTGGGTGGTGGCAGCAGTGGTCCCAGGCTCGCAGATGTGCTCCAGGGAGGGGGTCGGCTGGACATGAGGTGCCCCCAGGGAGGCACTCAGAGCTTGGAAGGTGGTTGGGTGCAGTGAGGTGGGTGACTCAGCGCACCCCCTATTTGCCCACCAGTAGGGGAGCACTTACTGGCCCGCCACACAGCACACAGGGTGGGTCTAGGGCACAGGCTGCATATGGCACCCATGCTAAATTGGGCCCGCTTGTTGGATCTGGGGCCAGTCTGGATCAGACCCACAGACTGGCCCTGCATGCCAGAACTAGCACACAGCACATGCCTCAGACAGTTCCTGTGCACCGTGGGCTGCACTGGGCTGGTCCAGCATAAGCACCACATGCTGCACCCAGAGCTAGTGCAGGCACATGCAATATGTGGTGTAGGACTGGAGCTAGCATGTGTGGTGCAAGCAGCACATGAAGCTAGTCCAGGGTGCACGTTACATGTGGCACCCACAGTTGACCAGCCCTGTGAGATAGCTTCAGCACAGAGGGTGGTCTGTGGGCCCCATCTGGTTCCACACCTCTCATCTGACACATGAGACTGGATGAGATTGACACCTTTGCTTTAAAGAAGCTGTTTTCAGAGTTGCCAAATTGATAGCTGTTCTGTTTTTGGCTTCTATCTGCATGGAAGTTAAAAGATCCTTGGGAAGTTTTAAAAAGAGTAACCCCATCTACACTAGGCAGTTGCATGGATCTCATGATAGCTACATAAAGGTACTTTATACCAGTACAGCAATTCCCACATAGGAGGCAGAATAACTATACTGGAATAATTCCCCTCAAACAAGGGGTTTGATATTAATATGACAAATCACAGCCCTAATCATAGGAACATAGGATTATAAGGACTTCCTCCTAAATCAAACCCAGTCCCCTGCTACTTTAGGCTGTCCTGTAATAAAATTGTTTATTTCAGCATATATTTGAAGTGTAGACCAGGCTTAGGAGAAAAACCAAAGTAGTGAAAATTGCATATTCCAAAAAAAAAATCAGTTATCTGAATAAATTAAAACAAGCACATTCACAGAAATTATATTATATTCACAGATGTTCTGCAACTGAAAAAAAGATATATTCATTAGATTATTTATTCAATGGGCTCAGCTCTATTCTTTTATGTTGACAACATCCATTTAATCCAAAAGAAACATCACAGTTTCCGACTCTCAGTGTGCATCTATCTACACATGCAGTTAATTTGAAGCAATAAACTCTGGAGCAGTTTGAGCTGGAATAAACTACTGGTCACACCCAGGGCAGCAGCAATTTGAGAGCAGTTTATGCCAGGGTTGCTCCTGCCCTGCTCAGCCCAGGCTGACAGTGGGTATGGCGGGGTCAGCCCCAGGCTCTGGGTGGTGGCATTGGGCTGGCTGGGGCACAAAGGTGTTGAAAGTACAGAGCCATGTGGCTATGTGTCAGGCAGGAGTTTGGTCCCGTGCTGCCTGGGCTCACTGGACACAATTTATGCCCACAGTTAGCATCTACACATGCATTTAATCGCAGTTAATTACGCCACCGTAAAATAGTACTGGCCTCAACACTACTATCTTACAGTGGCATTAATTAGTTTACTGCAGCCTAATAGCATCGCACATGTAGACAGTGACAGTTTATTCTGCAGCTAATTAGTCGACTCCACAGTTAAGTGCCTGTGTAGACGCAGCCTCAACCAAGGTAGAATGTGGCACCTGCCTAATAACTTAGAGCAACATAACAGTTAAGACAGGAATTGAAACATATCTGTTCCACATTAAAAAATAAATAAAACAGAGGGAATCTTTGGGACAGACTTAAATCCAGTAGTTTATTCCAGCTGGGGCACAAGGGTGTTGAAAGTGCAGAGCCATGTGGCTGTGTATCAGGCAGTCAAAAATGACCCTCAAGTCTCTTTTAGTTGTGGTGCTAGTGCGTGTAGCACTGCCAAACCTATAGGTATGATTTGGGTTCTTTCTCCTGAGGTGGAGCACCTTGCATTTCTCTGTGTTGAATGTCACCAGATTTTGATCCACCCACCTTATAAGCCTGTCCAGGTTGGCCTGAATCCCCAGCCTATCCTCTGGAGTAACTGCATTTCCCCATAATTTGGTGTCATCTACGAACTTAGCCAGTTCACTTCTGACACCCAAATCCAGATTGTTTTTGAATATGTTAAAGAGTACTGGTCCAAGAACTGAACCCTGTGGAACACCACTGGTCACCTTGCACCATGTTGACTCAGTTCCATCAACAATCACTCTCTGGGTACAACCACGGAGCCAGTTCTCCAGCCATC